AAAAAAAAAAAAAAAAAAAAAAAAAAAATAGTTTATCAGATCCAATATTGGGCTGTGATATTCAAAGATAACTTCAGTTTCAATTCTAAAAACATAAGAACTCATCCAAACATCTATTTTCATCAATAATTTCAACTTGAGATTCTAAATCTTTCTTCCTATTATCATTTGGACCATTCCATAATCTAAGTCAATCGAGTACATTAAGAGAAAAAAGAAAGTACCCTTAGAGAACACAGGGCTCTGGCCGCTTAGTTGCTCGAGCACCTAATCAAAGTAAATCATTAATGGCGGAAACAAAAAAGAAGCAGCTAAATGAACAAGAACAATGTACACATTAAAGTAGAACCTTGGCAGCTCTTGTAAGCCGATCTCCGCTCTCACCGACTGAGATATTGAGAACGAGCTTCTGCACCTTAATATCCCTCATGGTGTTCGATAACTTCCTCTCCGAAGCCTGCGCCATGTTAACAGAAGTAAATGATTAAGTCGCATGAAGGAAACAAGATTATAGGAGCTTTTTAAGAATCTACAGCTAGAAAACAGAAAGAATCTAGAGAAAATTACCATTGAAATGTTCTGGCGGGTGGCTACGCGGCTGCGGCTTGTGTGTTGCTGGTGGTGCTACTGCTGCTCGATCCCAGGGAAAGATGAAGAAACCCTAATATTGTTTGAAGTAGCCGAAGCTAGGGTTTCTGATTCGCCTAGGTTATGGGCTTTAGTTTTGGGCCTATGAAATTGCTATCATATGGGCCCTACAATTGAGGCCCAATATTTTTTATAGAATAATTTAGTTTTTTTTTTTTAAATTTTAATTTCTAGTTGTTAAATAGTTTTCAAAAGTCTCTAACCCTTATAGAATAGCTTATAAAGGATCATTAGCTAATTTAATTGGTGAGTCATTTCTCTCTCTTTTTTAATTTTCCCTATGATCGAGAAACTTTACTCGTTTAGGTCGGAAAGGTTTATTGTGATGTCCCACATTGGTCGGGAGGAGAATGAAACACTATTTATAAGTGTGTGGAACATTTCCCTAGTAGACACGTTTTAAAGCGTTAAAAAAAATTCAAAGAGGACAACATCTGCTAGCAGTAGATTTGGGTTGTTACATTTAACAACAACTAAACAAATGGGTTGATTGCAACCAGGCCCAAAGTTATTCATAGTCTCGAACACTCTAAAACTTAAGTTATAATTTAATTATGAGTTGATGTAGAGGTGAGCTACAATAGTGTTGCATACCATTGAGAACAAACAGTCTCAATCCTTTATCGATAGCAATTTCCCTATCACTACTTATGACACTCAAAGGGCTTAACGCGTACAGTCTTATCCTATCTAAGTTCGAGTTTACCCTTGTACTTCAAACAGTCATCCGTAGATGAACGTCATAGCAGTCTCGCTCTCAATTATATTGCTTAAAGCGAATCGACGAGACAAAGTGAAAGAACAGAGAGAGACTTGATAAAGATGAGTGAGTACGTGCAAAAAGTCAGAGGCACGAGCCTTTGTACCTAGCGGGCAACGAATTCTACACTAATGTTGTCTATGCATTCAGGTCGAGCATGTGGACAAGCTTATACCTGATTGGCACGTACAATAACAGATTACGTTATTCCCAAGAAAATTAGATTATTCTAACCTAAAATAATATTAATATAATGTCAAAATAAAAAAAGCATAATTTATAAATAGTAACTTGATTGGTTGGTATATTCAAACCGCTGAATGTGAAAATGTGTATAATAAAACAAATAAAATAAAATAAAGATAAGAATTGGTCAGCTTATTTATTTGAAGGAATTAAATTAACTTATCTCCGCCATTTTTTTTAGTTACTTTTGGATAGTAAATATCCATTCAATCTGCTGTAATTAATTAATAATTGTTTAATTAAATATTACCAATAATTGATGATCATTGAAGAAGCCGCGAAAGAAGAAGTCGGACAGATAATGGTTTTATTTAATAATATATTAAACAAAAATAATATAATTCTTATTAAATTAAAAACCCGTTTCCCATGCTTACGTTGGACGGGAATCTTTGGTTTATCCGACGTCGTTTCGATAGAATATCATAAATAGAAAAGGAAAAATTGGAAAGCAATAAAATTACTCACCATTCAAAGTTGAATTACTTAAAGAATCTGTGTGTTTACCTGGATTGGCAAAGAATGGCTACCGGGAATGGAAATAAATAGCGCAAATAATTATTATTGGTAACAATATTTGATTCTTTTAACCGGGAATAAAAATCTGGCTATCCTTCAATTGTCCACAACCTCAAAATTGTAGGAACGTTGCCATAAAGACTTAAAAAATTTGTTTTGGATATAAAAATGGGTCGGGCAAAGAAGAAAGGACTATGACAATTATTTTCGATTTTCGATTGAATAATATGTTTAGAGATATATTCGGGCGTGGTGGAGAGATCTTCATCCCAATCACTTATTTCATTCTTTATATCTGCGAAATTGTTGTTTATTATTTTTTAAAAATGAGTTATTTTAAAAATTCAAATTTTAATTTCAAAATTAACTAATTTATTATATATATTGAAAATATTTTATATTAAGCGGGGACGGAGACGGAAACGGCAATATAATTCCATCCCCTATCACATTTCATTTTCGGTCAAAATGGAGAATCTCCTCCGAAGGTAAAATGAATATTTCTAAATTTATTATCTAGTTCAACACATCACTGTAGAAGCGATTAACAAATTGAGGACATATTGAAATAGCTGACTGTCACGTATTGAATTCGTTAGTGACATTTAATGATACAAATTATTTATAAAGTTGTATTTCTCTAAGGATAAAATCCTAATTTTATTTAAAATACAACTAAATTTACCATTTAATCCTTAAGATTTTATGTAATTATGATGGTAAGTACATTAATTTAAAGTCAATAATATAAATGAATTTGTTTTAAATTATTAATTATTCATAATTATTAACAAAATGAGTATTTCTACTAAATTATTCACTTGAAATTTGATATATTACAGTTAATTAATTGTTAGTTGTATACAAATTAATGGAATATTAAATTGAATAAATTTATTAAAAGTCAACACGTGCCAAGATTCCTGTGTCATTGGGCAACCGTTCAAACGTAGTTTTGCAGACGTTTGAGGAAATTTGTGGAAGTTAATCACCACCGTTGATCTCTCTTCTAATTTTCCCATTACCCCAACACTTGCGCCCTCTTGAATAATCCACAATATCAATTTCAAACTTTTAATCGTAAATCAATACATTTTAAAAACATTAACACAAAAAAAAAAAAAAAAAAACGTTTTTTAATATATACTAAGTTCTTAATATTATGTGTATTAAATTTAAACTATACTTTTATTTAGTCATCGAGTAATTATTGTCGATATTGCATTTAAATTTTTTATTAAACTAATAAACATATAAAATAAAATAAACTTAATATCCTTAAATTTAACATAATTTTTTTTTTTATTATTATACTTCTAGAAATTGAAAACGTTCTTTTTAAGAGAGATTTTTTAAATATATTAGACTAGAAATGTCGAATAAAGCTATTTCCTATTAATTAAATCATACAAATTTAATTATTTAAATAAATAATCTAAAAACAACATTAACATTATTTAAAACTCTGTCACGGTGTGATTAACCAAAACCCTCTGCTTTGTTTAGGATTATAATTCAATAATTAATCCATCTAAATAATTCCACAAAGACTCTACACTGCACCCGACCGTACCCGAGCTAAACCCTCCCCCTTAAGCATTATAATTTACTTCGTATTTGCTTGCACGACCTTAATAAACAAACATAGTTTGCCAATCTGTCACCATGACCATTCTTTGTATTAAACCTCATCTAAATCTCTCACTCCTTCCCTCTCCCAATCTCTCCGCCCAAATCCCATTTCCTTTTTCTCTCTTTAATCTCACCCGTACGATTGATCGTTATCACAAAATTTCCGGCAACCGGCGTTCAAGTTTTCATCGCCGTTCCGCCCATGGACCGCCGTGTTCGCACTAACCCATTTCTCTCCGAGCAAGAAGATCCTGGAGCCATGTCGGACGACGGCCTGCCGGGATCCCCCACCGACGGCAATGGCTCCAGAAAAAGGTTAGTTTTTTATCAATTTAATTTACTTTAAATTAATATTTTTTAAAATTTTAATTTAATTTATGGATTTTGTTTTTTATTTTACAGTAGAAGGGGAGGGCAGAAAAGAGTGGTGTCCGTACCGATCGGTGACATGGAGGGATCTAAGAGCAAAGGGGAAGCATATCCACCGTCGGATTCATGGGCTTGGAGGAAATACGGCCAAAAGCCAATCAAAGGCTCTCCTTATCCCAGGTATTATACAAAATTAAGGGCATTTTTTTCGTAATTATTGGTTTGATTTCTATTAATTTTGCTCTAATTGAAAGAGGAATTGACTTAATTTTGATGCATTTATAATTAATTTCAGCTAATTTAATCGAAAATTCGAAGAAATGTTTAAAAAATTCAACTTTCATGTTAGCCGCCGTGCCGCCGCCACCACCGGCCGGCAGTTTTTTAACCAATAAGAAATATCTAACCACCGGCAACGGTCGCATCTGGATTGAGATTGGCGCATTTTAGCACAAAGGCGGCTTTTGCTAATATCGCCGCTTTGTTTTATTATTATTATCTGTTGTAGTTGGGAATTGGGATCATACCCATTATCCAATCGCTCTCATAAAGCGTGTACAACACGCACTTTATTTTCCCCCTTTTTCTTTTACCTAATTATTGCCCTATTTTGTTTCCTTCTTTTGCCTAATAATTGCACATTTTTTTAAAACTATTACTAAAATTACATAATTTTTAAAACCGTTTTTAAATTTTAATTTGTTTTTAATTAATTGAATCACGACATTATTTGAAGATGCCTTTCACATTGATGTCATACCAGTGAGTGACGACTATACGAAAAGTCTTTAAAATAAAATATTATTTATTAATCAAATCTACCTTATCCCAAAAATTTATTATAACACATAAATTAGGTAATATTATCTTAAAATGGGATGAATTAATTGATACTTAAAAAAAAAATACTAATTATTAATTATTGAATTTTTAATGTAATTTTTGCGTTATTCTATTGAGATTTGTTTGGTGATTGGCTCATGGGTTTACCTTCTTTCCCGTTAACTGAACGGACACTTTTACTTTTGGATATATCTGTATTAATAATTAATCCCACGTTTTTTTAAATTATTATTTACATAAATTTATTATATATATATATATATGTTAGGGGATATTACCGATGTAGTAGCTCCAAAGGCTGCCCGGCCAGAAAGCAAGTAGAAAGAAGCCGTGTGGACCCCACCAAGCTTGTTATTACCTACTCTTTCGACCACAACCACCAGCTCCCGGCGACCAAATCTCACCATCACCAACACCACAATTCCTCGCCACCCTCCGCCGCCATCGCTGAGGACTCGTCACCGGGGAGCGCAACCACGTCGCCCTCCAATTCCGACCACACCAACGCCACCCCCGCGTCGCCAGCGGTGGTTTTCGCGAGTCAGCCGGAACTGGAACTCGGTGGCGACTCGCTGATGATAAAACCGTGCATCGGCGATTTTGGATGGTTGGCTGACGTGGCGTACGATAGAATCCTGGAGGGCCCGATTTATGGGGGAGGCGACATGTTCGACGACGCCGATGTAATGGTTTTGTCTGCAAGAGGAAATGACGAGGACGAGTCGTTATTTGCGGATCTTGGGGAATTACCTGAATGCTCTGTGGTTTTCGGCCGGCGGCGAGCGGTCCAACCCGACGGACCGAACCGGACATGTGGCAGGGTTTTAGATTGCTAGCGGTTTTTTTTAAGGATTTGGTTGGTTTGTGTTACAGGAACATGACCGTAACACTTTTCTTTCGCTTTTTTCTAGCTGGACTTTCCAATTGCCAATTGGCGATCGCTTTGGACACTTCACAAAGAAAGAAAAAAGAGGGGGAGAGGATTTTTCTACATAATTATTATTATTTTTTTCTTTCTAATTTAGTTTTAAATTGGGATCGGTGGGTTTCTTCTGTTGTACAGTGAAAGTTAGTCAAGAATATTGAGAAAATAATGAAATTCTGTTTCCTTTTGAAATAAATCTCCTCGTCTTTAATATATATACATCCAGTTCTGCACATAGTTTGAGTTCGAGTTCATCGAGGTCGTGACTTCTTTCTAATTGTAAAGGATATTGTAAAGGATATTAGGATAGATTCCGAGTTGCTGGCAATGACTTGGCAAAGGGAATCTATGGTCCCAACACGATCATCAATGGTGAACAAAAATTAGGGATTGGATGCAGGCAAGGATCGGTGGGATGCCGTGGCTTTAAGAGAGGGGCGTAGTCCCCGTCTTATACTGTAGAAGTAAGCTCACCCGCATAAAAGGGCAAGAAGTAAGGGGACACGTCAAGGCACTTTTTAGTCCCCCTCTACCCGCCCAACATATATTCATATATTGTAAGGGTGTGGAAACCTTCCCCCTATCAGACGCGTTTTAAGGCCTTGAGGTGAAGCCTGAAAGGGAAAGCCCAAAGAGGACAATATCTACTGGCGGTGGATACGGGTCGTTACTAATGGTATTAGAGCCAAACATCGGACGACGTGCAAGCCTTCTCGCTGTTCCCCGAAGGGGGTAGACTCAAGGCGGTAGTAAGGACGCCGAGCCCCAAACGGGGGTGGATTTGGGGGCGGTCCCACATCGATTGGAGGAAGGAAAGAATCCAACGAAGACGCTAGGTCCTGAAGGGGGGAGGGGTGGATTGTGATGCCCCACATTGGTTGAAGATGAGAACAAACCACCATTTATAAGGATGTGAAAACCTTCCCTTACTAGACGCGTTTAAAACTTTGAGGAGAAGCCCGAAAGGGAAATTCCAAATAGAACAATATCTGCTAGTGGTGGATCTGGGCCATTACATATATATGGTGGCGTGTAAATGTTTGAAGCTTTTAACTTAGCTGGAGCAACATCCAATCCTCTTCAGAACCGACGAGTCGTCCTTGACATCTATTGTTTGGCCTTTCGATGGAAGGGTTGAACCGCTTGCGCTGTCGCCTGCCTCGACTGATCTCTTGCACACGATGCGATATATTTGAGAGAGCACCTCCGTGAAAGCACTCTCGACGTTCGTTGCATCCAGTGCAGAGGTCTCCATGAAGTACAAAGACTCCATCTCAGAAAATGATTTTCCATCTTCTGTTGGAACGAGAACGAGGTGTCGTAAATCGCATTTGTTGCCAATGAGCATCACTACCATGTTTGGGTCTGTGTGATTCCTCAATTCCTTTAACCATCTTGCAGCATTCTCGAATGTTGGTCGTCGGGTGACATCGTACACAAGCAAAGCACCTACGGCTCCTCGGTAGTAAGCACTAGTTATCGCTCGGTACCTACACGGAAAGAGCTGATCTGAATTGCCAATAAAATAGCTGCGAGAGTAAGCTGATATCATAATTTCCTCATTAACATCTAAAGCAGCACCAACATCTCAACTTCCATATGGATGTGTATAAATCTTACAAATTTAAACCATGAACTTGGCCAGTTGATACAAATAGAGAACATTTCTATATTTCTATTCATATGCATACAACAAACAAAATGGGCGACAACATCCAGAAGCGTACGTTTTTCTAATCAAACCCGCCTCCCCCACACCCACCAACCCATTGGATTTGGATTAATGTTTCGTTCTCCTCTCCAACCGATGTAGGATCTTACAATTCACCCCCTTCGGGGCCCAACGTCCTTGTTGACACTCGTTCCTCCCTCCAATCGATGTGGGATCTCACAATATACCCCCCTTCGGGGCTCAACGTCCTTTTTGGCACTCGTTCCTCTCTCCAATCAATGTGGGATCTCACAATCCACCCCCTTCTGAGCCCAGCGTCTGGCTTTGATACCATTTGTAATGACCCAAGCCCACCGCTAGCAGATCTTGTCCTCTTTGGGCTTTCCCTTTCGGGCTTCTCCTTAAAATTTCTAAAACGCATTTGCTAGGGAAAGGTTCAACACCCTTACAAAGAATGTTTCGTTCTTCTCTCCAACCGATGTAGGATCTCACAATCCACCTCCCTTCGGGGCCCAACATCCTTGTTGGCACTCGTTCTTCTCTCCAATCGATGTGGGATCTCACAATCCACTCCCTTTTGGCCCAGTGTCCTCGCTGGTACACCGCCCAGTGTTTTGGCTCTGATACAATTTGTAATGACCCAAGCCCACTGCTAGCAGATATTGTTCTCTTTCGGCTTTCCCTTTTGGGCTTTCCCTTTCGGGTTTCCACTTAAGGTTTCTAAAACGCATTTGCTAGGGAAATGTTTCAACACCCTTACAAAGAATGTTTCGTTCTCCTCTCCAACCGATGTGGGATTTCACAATTCACCCCGTCGGGGCACAACGTCCTAGTTGGCACTCATTCCTCTCTTATGGCACCTAAGAAGGCACAAATACAGAAACTATTGGATGCCAGCTTCTGCATATATTTCAATATTTGGTCTCTGTTTCCAATCACAGTCAAGCTTCAGCAGCAGTGGGATTCAGTAAAGACAAGCCGTGAAGTTTGAATTGGGCTACAATTCTAAGAGCACACACTAAATCATTGTATGTATTTTGACCCATAACTAAAGAATGGATGTTGAACAGATGAGGTTCTTTCGCAGGGAGACAAGAAAAGTGTAGTCTGCAGCATCTTCATTCGATCCGACAGTTATGACCTTCGAGTACCAATCTAAACGGAAATAAAAGAATTCCCTATTGCTCGAAAGTTTATCTAATGGCCCAAGACCACCGCAAGCAAATATTATCCTATTTGGATGACTTTCCCTTCTGGACTTCCCCTCAAAGTTTTAAAACGCATCTACTAGAGAGAAGTTTCCACCCCCTTATAAAGAATGTTTTGTTCCCCTTTCCAACCGATGCGGGGTCTCACAATCCACCTCCCTTGGGTGCAACCATCCTCACTGGCACACCGCCCGGTGTCTGGCTCTAATACCATTTGTAATAGCCCAAACCCACAGCTAATAGAGATTATCCGCTTTGGCCCGTTACATACTAGAGAGAGGTTTCCACACCCTTATAAGGAATGTTTTATTCCCCTTTCCAACCGATGTGAGACCTCACAGAAAGTCTCCCAAATTTCCATGTAAGGATGCACATTTAGGGTGTCCCCAAGATATGTTTTCAGATACCGCTATATAATTACAATCCATCTTTGCTCAATGAATACAAAACACCCTGTACGTTGAGGAGCAAAAGGAGGAATTTGTCCAAGGAGGAGCTCGTGACTGATTAGCTAGTTGGTGAGGCAATATTTACCCCAAGTTCTTCCAATGAACAAGCAAAAAAAAAAAAGTTGAACCAGTTTCTAACAAAACCCTAAACACAATGATTCCCAATAGAAATTTCATTCTTCAACAGCAATTAGAAAGTTCATTGAAAAAATAAACTAAACATTTTAAACCACCAGATTTCCAAGTATAATTTTCAATCAGTGCTACTTGGTTGAACGCATTCTAACTTTATCAGAATCAAAGCAACACCCTCGCCCTTTCTTCAAACACAAATTAAAGGCAAAAGGCTGTGTAAAGAGAATCATCCAACAAATTTCAAGTAACTGTAATGATATCTGACATAATTCTTGACCAGCAGAGAAGCGATTGATTAGAAACAAAGGAACCATGCAACTATAATCGGAATTTCAAGAGATATCAAAATTATAGATGAACAACGAAGAATCAAACCTTTCTTGTCCAGCAGTATCCCAAATCTGAGCCTTGATTACCTTCCCATCGATCTCCAAATTCTTGGTAGCAAACTCAACCCCAATCGTCGACTTCGATTCTAAATTAAATTGGTTCTTCGTAAACCTCGAGAGCAGGTTTGATTTTCCCACCCCTGAATCACCAATCAAAACCAGCTTAAACAGATAATCATATTCATCCTGACCTTTATAACCCGCCATAATACTCTTCGTCTAAGTCGAAGAAAAATCAGAATTCCCAGAAGAAGAAAAGCTAAAAGTAAGCGGGTGCGTATATATATATATCAATGTATATATACAAAAAAAAAAAAAAAAAAAAAAAAAAAAAAAAAAAAAAAAAAAAANTATAAAAAAAAAAAAAAAAAAAAAAAAAGAGTAAACTAATATCTTCGTCTTAGTGGAGGCCTTTGCTCCGGAGCTATGGAAAAGTAAAGGGTCATAGGCATAGAACAGTGAATTTGAATTTTGTACTGTACATCAAGAACAAGCAAGAAAGTACGAATTTCAACCAGATTTTGTTTCTCGATTTGAAATTTCACGATGGTTGATTAATTTTGACTCGCTTTGAAGTGTGGAAAGTGGCTTAGCGTGCAGCTAAGCATTCCCACATCGGAAAGGAGCTGAAGCAAAGCTGTGGTGGGCTGCAATAAAAAGGGAGAAAATTTCGTGTAATTCGCATCTTTGCGCTTGGGGCAATGACGCAGCTAGTGAGGTTCTAACCGAGGCGCGTCAATTGCTGGTTGAAAACTATTTCCAAACCCCCTCTTAGGCCTGGGTTTGGCCCAGGCCTTCGAGAATTTCTGGAAGGGCTCCCTTCGGGGTAAAGCCCTACAATTTTTAGGCCCAAATATTCTGTTCTTCTCACTAGCCTTATTGGGCCCGGTTTATTCTGCAAGGCCCAATGAAGGAGATGAGTTAATTATAGTGGGACTGTCCGTTTAAAATATACTTATTTTTGCATAGGTAAATTCTATTTTTAATATAGTTTTCATTAATATATATATATTAAACATATTTGAACTCATCTCCTTCCTTTTTTAAACTCTCTCCTTAAAATTATTAATTTATTTTTGGTAATTTCTCTCTCCCTATGTATATATTTATTTGAAATAAATTTTTGAATACATAATTTCTATTTTTAATATTCTATTAAACATAATTTTTAATTAAACATAATTTTTAAATTATACGGGTGATATTTAGAGTTAAATAGGTTATTCCCAGGTCTAAAGAAAAATCTCTTAGGGAACCGGTCACCATTTGGCTAACCCTGCACGTTATCAATGGTTTGGAGAAATTTTTTTTAGAGGACTCAATTTTACTGGTAATCGTCGGTCAGTGGTCTCAGGTCTCGTTTAATGAACTTTAGAGGACCCAATTCTAAGTCACCGTGGCTAGTTTTAGAAAAATGTCACCGTTGAGATAACTTTTTTTTACGTACAAATAATTTTACTCCCTACTTTGGAATATAAATTAAAAGGGAACTATGCCAGCTTCTGCTGATTCAGACTCCAGCTGGCTGAATCTTATCCAATTCCAATTTCTTTAATGGATGCGATAATTTAACGTTATTGGCTGTGAATGCCCACCGTGTACGTGCTGCTGGCTCTCATTGGTCAGTTTTATCACCCCATGGTAAACTTATCAAACCTCCTTGCTAGTTTCTTTATTTAAGTATACATTTTTGGTTTTATGCCAAATGAAATTTTAAATTCTTTCGTTTAAATAATTCATACATTAATTTTTTTAGAAACTTCAATTTTGAAAGCTATTGAATTTATAGTATCGAAAGTTATCAAATAAACAGAACTCAATTTGTAATTTATTTTGATTTTGATTTATTTATTTTTGAAGTTTGCATTCAGTAGGAAAAGATTTATATTGCGTCGTGATCCAACGAACGCCACATTTTGCTCCTGTATCATACTACATTATAAGACGTTTGAGAAGGTCCGGAGTAATATTTAAGCCTTTCGCAATCCATTTTCACCAAAAGAAAGGATTGAAATTATCGTTTAGCTTAGAGGGAGGTCAGCTTCAAATTTTGGAATGTAAACCAATTATTGCGTTCGGAAGTGATACGAATTTTGCAGCATTTTTCGTTTTCAGGATTTGGTTCATTGTTCTTCTTGTTGTTGTTGCCGCCGTTCGGGATCTGGTCGATGCTCAGATATATCGGGTACGCGTCGAAATTCATTGGTTTAGATTTATATATTTGATCTTTCTTTCAATGCTGTACTGTGTCGCTTTCGATTAAAGAACGGATCTAATTTCGTAATTCTGGGAACGGAGAGCATTGGTTGCTGTTGGATTCTGCTTGGTTGAAAGAGAATCTTTGAGGTTTTGGACTAGGTAGGATTAGAATAACGGGAAAGATTAATGTACATTGGATTGGAATCCGTTTTTTTCTGTTAAATTTTGTTTATTAATTACTTGATTGGGCGATAATCTTCTAGTTTATTAATATGTTCTTGTTTGTAACTTCATCGCGTTTCCGAACGTTAGGGTTTTGATTGTTTTGTTTCGTATTACGGAATTGTTAGGCGCTGCGCTTGTTAGTTTGTTCATCTAGCGGATAAACATGATTTCGAGATCGTACACAAATCTTTTAGATTTGGCGTCTGGAAATTTTCCAGCAATGGAAGTGAAACGGAAGCGGTTTCCACGGATCATGACAGTTCCAGGCGATGTAGGCGAGCTTGACGACGATCAGGCTTACAGCGTGACATCCGAAAATCCATCATCAATTTCCTCAGATCGGATGATAATTGTAGCAAACCAGCTTCCATTAAGAGCAAAACGAAGGGAAAATGACAATTCCTGGAGTTTCAATTGGAACGAAGATTCATTGCTTTTGCAGCTTAAAAGTGGTTTGCCAGAGGATATGGAGATTCTTTATGTTGGTTCTTTGAAAGTGGATATCCAACCAGACGAACAGGATGAGGTCTCCCAGGTTTTGTTGGAGAAATTTAAGTGTATTCCTACGTTTTTGCCTCCTCATGTTTTGGAAAAGTTTTATGATGGGTTCTGCAAGAGGCATTTGTGGCCTCTTTTTCATTATATGTTGCCATATTCTGCTGATCAGAAGGGTCGATTCGATCGCTCCATGTGGGAAGCTTATGTATCAGCAAATAAGCTGTTCTTCCAGAAAGTGGTTGAGGTGATCAACCCAGATGATGACTATATTTGGATCCATGACTACCATTTGATGGTAATGCCCACGTTCTTGAGGAGGCGTTTTAACAGAGTTAAGATGGGATTTTTCCTTCACAGTCCATTTCCTTCATCTGAGATATACCGTACGCTTCCTGTTAGAGAAGAGATTCTCAAGGCATTACTTAACTCTGATATCATTGGATTTCACACTTTCGATTACGCTCGTCATTTCCTTTCGTGTTGCAGCCGAATGTTGGGTTTAGAGTATCAGTCGAAGAGGGGCTATCTTGGATTGGAATACTATGGGAGGACGATCGGGATAAAGATAATGCCTGTCGGTATTCATATGACTCGGATCGAGTCAGTGATGAGACTGGCAGACAAGGAATTTAAGACTAGGGAACTCACACAACAATTTGCAGGGAAGACGGTGTTGCTAGGTGTCGATGATATGGACATTTTCAAAGGAATCAACCTGAAATTGTTAGCTATGGAACAGGTGCTTGAGCAACATCCAAAGTGGCAGGGGAAGGCCGTACTGGTCCAAATTGTAAATCCTGCCAGAGGCAAGGGAAGGGATTTGGAAGAAATAGAAGATGAAATAAAAGAAAGTTGCAGAAGGATTAACAAGGAATATGGGGATTCTGGCTATGAGCCGATAGTACTTCTCGATAGGCATGTGCCAATTACCGAAAGGGTTGCTTATTATAGCATTGCGGAGTGCGTAGTTGTCACTGCTGTTCGAGATGGGATGAACTTAACTCCGTATGAGTACGTTGTCTGCAGACAGGGGATATCCTCCCAAGAAAGTTCAAACTTCCATGGACCGAAAAAGAGCATGCTCGTCATATCTGAGTTTATTGGATGTTCTCCATCACTAAGTGGAGCATTTCGTATCAACCCGTGGAATGTCGAAAGGACAGCAGAGGCTTTGAATGAAGCAATCTCAATGGCTGATACAGAGAAGCAGTTGCGACATGAGAAGCATTACCGTTATGTTGCTACTCACGATGTTGCTTATTGGTCTCGTAGTTTCTTGCAAGATATGGAGAGAACTTGCTCAGATCATTTCAGGAGACGATGTTGGGGAATCGGTTTTAGTTTCGGTTTCAGGGTTGTAGCTCTTGATCCCAATTTCAGAAAACTTTCAGTAGATACCATTTTATCAGCTTACAGTAAGGCCGAAAGTCGGGCCATTCTTTTGGACTACGATGGCACCGTGATGCCTCAAAACTCCATAAATAAGTCACCGAGTCAGCAGGTTATCTCTATCCTTAACACGCTTTGTGCAGATTCAAAAAATGTAGTCTTCATTGTGAGTGGACGTGGGAGGGACAGCTTAAGCAAGTGGTTTCGCCCTTGCAAGAAGCTTGGAATTGCTGCAGAACATGGATATCTTTTGAGGTTCGCTTCTTTGATCTCTCTCATGTTGTTCTATGAGAATTATCTGAACCATAAGTTCTTTGTTTCATATCAACTCACTGTATGGATTTGTATAAAGGGTAACAATGGTTGAGAAATTTTGACCTCTGAATACTACACTGGAACTCGTCTCGCCATAATCGAGGCTAGTTTATAAGATATGCTGAACCATGGCCGCAAAGTTTTTGTTTTTTGGTCGTATTCACCTAAACTCGTTTCTTTTATTCTAATTCTATTATCAAATCTGTTCGAAACGAGCAGGCAGTCACAGGACGAGGAGTGGAAGATCTGCGGCCAAAGTTCTGATTTCGGGTGGATGCAGATTGCTGAACCTGTTATGAACTTATATACGGAGGCTACAGATGGTTCATCTATTGAACGAAAGGAAAGTGCCTTGGTCTGGCAGTATAGAGATGCAGATCCTGGTTTTGGATCTTCCCAGGCTAAGGAGATGTTGGATCATTTAGAGAGTGTTTTGGCAAACGAACCCGTTGCAGTCAAAAGCGGTCAATTCATCGTCGAAGTGAAACCACAGGCGTGTTATTGTTCATTTATGAATTATAATCTTGATAGAGCTCGAATTTGATAACCGAACTCGTTTCTGATCTTATGTATTTGCTTCAGGGGGTTACCAAAGGCTTAGTAGCTGAAAAGATTTTTTCAACAATGGCTGAGGATGGAAAACTTGCCGACTTTGTGTTGTGTATTGGCGACGACAGATCCGATGAGGACATGTTTGAAATAATTGGTAATGCATTGTCCAGTAATATTCTTTCTTCTTCGACGTCGGTTTTTGCCTGCACTGTTGGACAGAAGCCGAGCAAAGCGAAATATTATTTAGACGACACAGCTGAAGTGATAAGCATGCTAGAATACCTCACCGAAGCTTCTTGCCCGTTGCCATCCTCCGACAATGAAGATGGTGAAAACGCTTCCTGAAAGTCGAAACAAAACCCGTGTCGCTGTTTCGGGACATGAAGATCGAAGATGATCTGAGTGGGAAATTTTGTACAAGAAGCTGGGTGATGAATTGATAACAACACTTATTTTATAACACTTATTTTATATCACCTTTCAGCTTT